GCAAGAAATGGCGGCTAATCGATGTCAGTGGCGTTCGTGCTGTCAGTTTCTTTCCAGATTGTCTGATTGAGCGGTTGGAGGTGTAGGCACCTCAGTATGCTTGACATAGGCCAGCACTTGGTCCCCTCCCTCACCCACTCTTTTTCTCTTCTCTTCACTGTAGGGCTTTCAATACATACATTATATATATATATATTGATGATGATGATGGATAGACTTTATGATTGTAAGGCAGTGAGGCATCAGTATCCTTCACAGTATCCTTCAGTATCCTTCGGACTATTCATTTATTGTCTCCGTGTAGTGCCCTTCGAGGAAGCTCTACTACCCATCGACTGAATCACTGTGACCAGTCCCTCAAGCAGTTTTCCTGTCGCTTTGCCATTGAAACCAAATAATCGCTTACCAAAATCACGAGATCTGATGCACATCGCAGCCTTCGATGTTCGTAAACTCTGTTGAACTGAACAATAGGCATCCCTTGCTGAAACGCTTATTCCTTTTTCCATTGATTAATATGCCTCCAGAATACCCATTCAACGCTATTTTGGTTGTGCACCTCAAGTCGCTTAGGTCAAGTTCAGACACTTAACATTCTTCTGGTACTTGGTATCCCAATGCAATAATTCGTGGTATCTGTGGCGGGGTAGATGCACTCATGTCCAACGTTGAAAACGTTTCACAGGACTGGGTCCCAGTGAATAATCGTTTTGGCGTTGTATGACTGTCTGGTCCGATTACGATCAGTGCAAGCTGATGCACCATGCGGTCTCTATTTGTCGCGAAACGCCCCAACATACTGGAGAACCTTTGTGTTAATTGGTGTGGTGAATACTTTACGAAGCAACGTATGTTGTTTGTAAAAAACGGCCCCCAGTGATACAACGAAACTAGCCGGCCGTCAACGACAGGAATCTAGCGCGGGAAGTCATTCCTATGACCCGACAGTCACTCCCATCGGAAGGTGGTGAAATCATGGTGAATAGTTTCGCGGAAATAGAGTACAAGCGGATCCAAGTTCTTTTACTGTAATCCCGGCCTTCAAGAAGGGCGCAGGAACATTGGGCCGAGAATTTCGTGTCACGCAGGTACCCTCTGGCATGATTTTGTGCTGGTCGATCGGCTGCAGGGAAAGACGGATTCATGAGAACCAAGCTGCGTTTCACCGTGACCGAGATTGCATTGACCAAATTTTTATTTTGACTAAAGTTCTTGAACAGCGCTACTCCTTGAAACTTTCAGCATTGTTCGCGTTTTTTATCAAGAAGCTGCTTTTAACTACGTAGATCGTCGGCAGCTGTGGTGATGCCTGATAATCAGAGGTATCTCTTCTAAATTTTTATCTTCTGTGCGGGCATTGCGAATTTATGTGAATGCGTACGAGTATACAGCAATGTTTCGTTTGCGTTCTCCACGTCCAGTAGCGTAAGACACGTCTGCCCTCTGTCGCGATTTTTTTTCAGATTTACTGCTGACATATTGCTTGAACTTCACTGTCTGTCTTTGAAGCCTTAGAGACTGAAATATTCTCCGGACGTTCGTTCCCAGACAGTGAGTATGCGCGCGGTATTGCTTTTTGGTCCAAATCTTTCAGAAATGCAAACCATTTAAAATAGCCCAAATGGTTTGGCCTATGCTACCGATTCCTGCCAATCACTTTCGTTTACAACCATACAAACCTATTTGTCAAGGATTCTCAGATGAACCATTCCGGTTGCCTTTTCTAAACAGGCGATACAAACTCAGTAGAACCATCGTTTCGTTAGTTAGGAATTAGAGCGAACTTTCATCAACCTACTCGTCGGCAGTTTGCGGCTGATACAGTATGAGAGAGCTGATGTTCTGCAATCAGACTGTTAATGAGGGTACGTCCACGGGGAGGAATACTGCACCAGCTTATTTTCGTTGCAGGTGGCGCATAAATAAATCTTCCCTCTTTGAGTATTGAGGTGTGCTGACCGTCGAAGTGGCGCACAATGTATGTAATGGTCTTTTGCCTAATGCCTCCGTTCGGAGTTAGACTTCCCCATTGTCAAAAGTCGAACATAATGTTCCTTCAGATCACCTGAAACCTATCTTTTTATCGTAAATTCGGTCTTTATTGAAAGCGATGACACCACAGGTTCTCCGTCTTCCGTTTCTATTAGATTACCCACACCCATAATTTCAGCTCTGCCTGCAACGTGCTTGGTCACAAGTTGCAATAAACTTGAAGACGACACGTTTCGTTACGCGTTGGATGGTGATACCTTTTGTCGGAATCTCAACTCCCCTCCCGACCTGTAACTATCGCCCCTGCTACAGAGCAAAGAGAAGTTGTTGTTCAGGCTATTGCAAGCGTGATCCAAAGTTTCCGGAACGTTAGCAACAAAATCTCCTTCAAGTTACCAAAATTATCACCTACTTATCACTTTGATTCGGTGCCGCTGCCTTCCAGCACTATACTGACTGATCTGGTCATGATCGGAATTCGCATATCCATTTGGGTTTGCTCTGGAGTAATGGCGATCTTCAGACCGTTATCCATTGACTAACCTGATAGGCGAGACTCAGGGTACAACATGGGTATTCCCAGTGTAACCTAGTGGGTTGCTGAGCTGTACTCACGCAATCAGGTAGGTGTTTTGTCTTGAACTGTACACCAGTACCGAACGCCAATGCTCCACTGCCGTGAATAATTTAGTTGAAAGTGTTGCTGCGAGAAAAAATCAAATTCGAAGATAGAAGGGACTCAGTGATAACCTGCTGCAGGCTTTGCGAGTTGCATACACCACCAGACACCCGTCCGGGTGATCTGGATAGAAGTTGACAACGGGAAGGCTGATAACCTCGGTAAGTATCCTTATCCTAAAGCGTCTCGAACCATGTACATGGCAAATCACGTGGACCCGGTCCTGAAAGATGGGTTGCTGCGATCCAGGCTTCTCGCAGTTATATTGACGCTCTCCTACTTTCTTAATGGCTGTTCACGTTTCTGAATTAGATACAAGTAATATTACGTTTATTCAGGCGACTATATCGCCTCCCCTTTGCAGATTTATTGGCACCAAGTGCTTCATGTTCACAACTTTACTGCCTATTTTCTTGCTTTCATTTTGTTTTTGTAATTTCATATTGGTTAGAAACTGGAAAATGCACCAGCTGACGTGCTTACGGCACGGATTTCGCCTTTCATTTGTTCGTGAGATAAGGCGTGCATTGCATCTCAGTGCAAGCCGAAATTACTATATTTCGGGACCTCAGGAGCCATTCTCTCCCGTACCGGGACGTTTTCCAAAGTGGGCATCCAGTGGAGATGAGGCGTTTTATTTCCTTAAAGATGGTATACGCTGCTCTTATCTATAGCATTTTTCCCAGGAGCGAATGTTTTCCTACACGGTGGAGCAGCAACTCCCAGTTTGCTCCTAAAAGAACTCTATGAATATGTTATGTCTAATAATCTCAAAGATATCAAGCTCTTCCACATTCACACTGAAGGACATTACCCTTTTAACGACATTGCTGCTCAGAATCGCTTTCGCTCAACTTCTTTGTTCACAGGTTTGACAAATACGTTTTAGATGTTAATCTATTACAGGTGGTAATTGTAGAGAAGCTATCCGAGAAGGTCGAGCAGATTACACTCCCATCTTTCTCAGTGAAATTCCTTTATTGTTTCGTCGGAAACATTTGCAACTGGACTTGGCTGTTATCAATGTTACGCCTCCAGATAAACATGGGTTTTGTTCCCTTGGTCCTTCAGTAGATGTCACACGCTCAGCTATTCAGAACGCAAAGCACATTGTTGGTAATTTCTGCTTGATTCACTCAACCGTATTTTTCCTCACAAAAGCTCAAGTAAACGACCAGCTACCACTGACGCGGGGTGACGCCAGTATCCACTTTAGCAATCTGACGGTACTTCGCACTGGCGCACAACCCTGTCATCAAATGTCACCCAGAGTTGCCTCTGATGTGGAAGACAGAATTGGCACAATTATCGCTGAGAATCTGGTCGAAGATGGTGCCACGCTACAAACTGGTAAGCGATTTACACTGTTTTTTCGTGTCGTAGTTATTCCTGATACCTTCGTTTTTTCATGGTCCACTTCGGGTGTATTCACATAATGCACTCACGGTTATCGTCCAAAAGACTACGGAGCTGCCGAATTTCGCCTGACCCACTAATTATTCTCCCTGTGTTTAACAGGATGTGGAAATAATAGACTAAGGGTTTCATTACCCAGTGGTCTGGAATCGTTTGGATCTGCCATTTCATTTCAAGGTTTCTAATGTTTCCTTTCCTATCATACGTCCCAGACCAACTTGCTTAGAAGAGTGCACCAGAATGAGCAATATCCTTTTCAGTCGTCAATATATATATATATATATATAATATTCGGTTAAGGGGGAATGCCCTCATGTTTGTAAATATGCTTCGTGCTGCCCGTATCTCTCGTCTTGGTCGGACTTATCCTAAGATTCGCCAAGAATCCCCTCACTCCTTTTCGGTTCAATTTCTTCACCGATATTATCATGGAATTCACACTTCATTGGATTCAGACTCATGATAGTAAAAATGTATGCGGGAATTTCGGGCCCTGTGTCACGTTTGGGTATGCGTTTTGCATCTTCAAAGTGCAGAGTGCCGCTCCAGAGGTCCCCCTGGGGCAAAGTGTTCCTACGAAACTTCAAGGAGAGTAAGTTCCGCTGACCAGTTTAATTATCTAGTCAGCCGAAGCCAGTCTATACACGTATTATGAAGGTGAGAGAAGCATTTCCGTACTTACGTTGTTTATGGCCTCAGAAAAGAATCTCGCTCCATCGTTGTGAAACTTGGTCCCTCCGATCTGAGGACATCAGACGGATTCAAACGTTTGATTACCACTGTCCTGGCATTATACTGAAAGTTCCGTTTTCTTTGATCCCTTCTGGTTAGGGGCTGAGGTTTCCAAAACCATGTTACATAGACGGTATCATTCCTAGTCGGACTGCCCAGCTGAAGTGTCTATCGTTGTATCGCGAGTTTATGTCGATCCAGGTTCGCAAAGGACGTTGGCTCAGTCCTACAGATGCCATCTCATTTCGGTATAGTACTCAGCTGCGCTTTTCTCGTTGTTCTTCCACGGTATAGGCACCTTGTTCTCGATAGACTTTTGTGGTGACTTAGGGCTGTTCGTAATTTCTGCCTGTTTTTCCCTCTCTCCACTCTTTATTAGGGTATGCTCTCTCGGTCCTGCTTCAGTTAAGCGCCATTAATTATTACTGGCTTATTACTTTCCATGCTGGTGGTAATGCTAAACTTGTTTTCCTTGTGATGTGGCTAAAACCACCAGCCTTCGCGTGACACATTACCGATTGTGTTCGGATGTTGGTGTCTGAATTCGTTTGTAACCCTACTTCTGTGCTCTTGGCACGAATCGCCGTACCGGCACTTGGGTGGGGTATCTTCCAACCGCTTCTCTGGTTTGGTTGGAGTGCTCTGACTGGTCTTCATTGCTTGCTATTCAAGTGCTTTCATTCCACTTAATTAAGCACATTGTTGAACCCTACCTTTTGCTGAGACTTCAATCCCTTCTTTGCTCGCTGACGTTGACTCGGCGTCACGTTTAATTGCTGGACGGTACAATGAGTTTGATACGGCGTTTGTAGTAAATAAAGGTTTATTGGTGCTGCTGAATTCACGATGGTTGTGAACGCAGATGAGCAAACTCGTGTGATACTCTCGACCATCCGCCGCAGTTGTAAGGAAATGAAATTGGGATAACATTCCACGACTACAAGTTGCAGGATGAAAAACGCCAGACAAGTATGGCGTTTGCAAGGGATCGATGGAACTCAATCTCTTTAAGCATGTGTCAGGGATAACGGCTTGTGCCCGTGCAAAACCACGAGAAACGGAGAGTTGAACGTTGCGTAGGGCAACTCTTGGTTGGTTGCGTTTTACGGTAACTGTCTCACGTTTATCTTCCGAACGGCAAATTCGTGTAAATAATGGGGTCTAAGGAGGCTACCAGTTAGAGATAGAAGAGCCGGGAGGATTTTGCGAATAACATCCCTGTCCCAGGCTGAAAATTCCACCCAATGTTCACCTCAATCAATGCCGTCGATTCATCCACACTATTTTCTTCACATCTGTTGTTCTTGTCCCATATTACTGGCCTAAATTCCATTACCTCATTTCTTATCAATCAGATCAAAACACGCGACAGATGTGCTTTGTTATACGTCTAATTACCGCAAGCATAATTGACTCTAACATCCAAAGTCACGCACCCTAAAACTTGTTCGCAATCTATTTATATGTTCGCTTTTTGTTGCTGTCTGTTCTGGATTGTTAGCGGTCACCGCATTGACGGTCACGGTCAGTTTTATTTCGTTTATTGATGGTTTGTCGTTCAGTCTTTCTGTTACCCTCCTGTCCGGATGACCCATATTCGAGGTGTGTTTTTGCCGTCGTCCATTACAGTATCGTAGAACATGGATTCTACTTTGTTTTGATTGGACTCCAAAGGGGTTTCACACACCAATGCCCCGTGTTCAAGCACTTAGGTCGACATCGCCAAGCCGATAATTATTTTTGGACAGTTCGATTGATTGGGTTGACCTAATTGATCAGAGAGAATAGGCGAATGCAATCGAGCCCCCAAATTGTGACAGGTTATCTTCTGGGAACGATATGACTGATGAAGGCCATCAAAAAACAGACGTTTCTGACAACGCCTTCGACAGCTTGTGTCTATCCTGGGACCCCAAACAAAACTATTCGGCTCTTTTGGTCTATCTAAACCTAATAGCTTTAACCTCATCGGAGAATCCGTGTAATTCACCTTTCCACAACTTTACAGGTCTCACTAGTTGGTGTAAAGGTAAACAAATATAGCCTTGGTTTCTACGGGCAGTATGATTTCGAGGCTCAAGAGTGCAGTATTCCCATCATTTTTCTCACGAGAATTGCTTTCCACCAAATGGTATAAAGCATCGTTCGAAACTACACCTGATCATCTCGTTAACGGGATGCAGTACTCTGAGTCCAATATGACCTGGAAAAGACATGTGGATTCTGTATACTAAAGAGGTGGGAGTTCTATGGAAGCGCGGACAGCCTGACGGGTGTAGTGAAAAACCATACGGCCCCATTAGAGAGACAGTCATTACGCGAAAGGTCTTCAGGTACAAGGGTTTTTGAAGAGATTTTCTGGACTAATATGTCCAAGCTGGTGCGTGGATATTCGACCAGTCGTGTGTATGTCTGCCTTTGGAAATTTTCCCAACAGCCGCATGAGAGTTTTGAGCACTATGTATCATTTTATCCGCTCTTGAATGGGACGTTTTGCTTTGAACTTCTATGCTTTACTAACTGTAAGTATTTCTGACCCGTGATATAGTACGATAATTTTCTAGCGTTCTTCAATGTAGGATGGTTGACCGTGCCCGCTTCAAGACGAAGGATGAGACAAAGCACATGTTCTAACCATGCCTCTCTCACACGTTACAACGCGTGTTATATATACGTGATTGGTAGCATAACAACGCCTCACTGGACAAAGGTCACCGTGGTAACAGACGTGAGTGACGTTTGAGCCCCGGGATATAGTTACATGTTATAACAACCAGAGTTACAGGTCAGGTCGCGTGTGCAATCCAATGTTTTGGTCACCGGGATTGTAAGCAGTGGAACTAAAAGTTATCTCGAAAACGGTGAGGTTACAATAAGTGCACGGATCAAGGTAAACTGATATCGAAGATTGTGATAAATGTGTTCAGTTTTGCGAACACATGGTGATCACGACTTCATTGAGGTTGCATCATTATACTGGATGCTCACAAGTTGAAAGACGTTAGAAGTAAAAAGAAGGCTGATTATGAACAGAAGAACGAAGTATTCAAACTTAAACTGACTGCCTGACCTTGAACGAGTCCCACTTGTATAGCTTTCGATGAGTGAAATTTCCCCTCGTGTGACCAATGCTAATAGGGCTATAGATCAGTTTTGTTGATGACTCAGTTTTCGCCTCTGTCTGTACACTCTTGACCTGTTGTAGTCATAGGCGATACTGTGATAGCCTCTTCTGTGTGAATACCTAAACCCGTGTCTCCGAACCGGCTAGAAACGAACAGCTGCCCGGCCCACGAATGTTAATCGCTGGACGGTGAGGTGTGACTGTCTTTATTGGTTAGGACGATGCATCTTCAGTTTCCAAGATTGTGGGCCACGCTGCATATATCTTCTGAAGAACGGCATTCAATTCAACTTTCCGTAAATTCACGCGTCACATTTGATCCCAACAAGACACTCATTCAGTTCCCTTGTTCTTATTGTTTAAGGCAGTGGTTCTCACTTGACACTCCAACCGCTTTTCAACTTATGACTAACGAATACAATGGCGTATCGTGGCTAAATTCAGGTTCTGACTTCACTTCAGGAATTTCACGACGCTCCATTCAACGTGGTGTGCAGAGGAAGTATCTCAATCACCGTAGCTGGTGACGCAGGATCAATTTTGAGCGGCATAGATCATTACAACATCGTCATTAACATAATCATTAACATCGTCACTGGGTAGTGTCATTTCAGCGTGCTCAGTAATCGTCGTGAGGACCAGTGGTTCAACCGCGTCGGCGAATTTCATTATAGGCCGAACTTGCACTCATGCACCTAGAACTTTGCTCAGAGCTTTTATTCATGAGCGTCTCCACACTTTGCATTGGAGCTGCATGTAGGTCTTCTTGCTATTTTTCATCTGCGAGGGTCGTAGAGATCATTTACTTAAGGGACTCAACTTAGTTCACGGGCTCTTCGTTGTCACAGTAGGCGTTTGTTGCTAGTCCAGCTAGCGAAGCTTAGTGGTCGATTCGATAAGGATATACTGTATTTCTGATGGATCTCTGACAAGAACGATTGTAACAGGAAGGTTGCCAAGACCCAGAAACCACGCTGTGGGGGCCTATTGGCGTCGCTGTAGATATAAGGTTTTGTTAAGTGAACCTGTAAAATGGAAAAACATAAACTAAAGGGGACAGTTTTCTCAAACTGCTGGGTCTAAGACAAAAGTTGTCCTTTCCCCATGGACTCAATTTCTTGCTTTTGGGTTTGAACAGTAGTGGATCCTAATGAAAGTAACCTGTTTATCCGGCATACCATCGGCCTTCAAGACTGGTCAAAGATATTCCTCATTTTGATGTGAATCATTTTGGGACTGTGTGCCAGAAAAACCAATTAGGGCGTTGTATTTGTCGAACCGAATCTTCCGGAAGGGAACACTGGAGATAGTCAATACTTTATGAGTTTAATATAACACGCAGGAACCTTTTACTTCAGGATTTCTGTCAATAAAAAAGTGTATCATTGCTGTGGAAAACCCGGGAGCAGTCGACGTACGTGAGACGATTACTAGCAGCTCTTGTATGCTATTAGACGAAGCTAAAATTACGCCTTCAATAGCTTGTGTAGAAATCAGATTTTCAAAGGTCAGGGGTCTAACCTCTCTAGCTAATACATCTGTCTAATACATAGGCAGATGTGTTAGCTAACTTGAACAACGACCGAGTCCGCACAAAAACCGTTTTCTACCTCGTATCTACCCTTTGACTTCGAGCTAAACAATAAATCACTCAGCATACTTTGTCTGCCATCAAACGAAGTTCACTTGCGAGAAGGAATATTAGTTATTCTTGAGTGTCTCTGCTATGGGGACATTCCGCGCCTGGACCAAATTTCCTATCCTCTTGGATCTCCCACATTGAGAGGTTTTAGCCTACGGATAGCATCTAGTTCTCGATTTTTTTAAACTTCTCAGTGCAATTTATTGACACTAGTTCTAGTAATATTCAAGCATCGGATTGCGAGTTCGCATATTTTGTTGCAGGTATTGGTGCGATTCCCGATTCTGTGCTCTCAAAATTAACCAATCACCGACATTTGGGAGTCCACACAGAAATGTTCTCTGATGGAGTGGTTGATCTGGTCAATGTGGGCGCAATCACAAACGCGTACAAAAAAGTTCGTCCAGGAAAACTGGTCAGCAGTTTCGTGGTCGGAACAAATAAAGTATTCGAATTTCTGGATGATAATCCAATGGTTGGTAAGTGGTAAAACTAGTGTGCGTTTTCTTGGTTTCATGCTGACTTGAACTTTTAAAGTCCTTTACACCATAATTTTGCTTATCAAAGCGATCCTAATATATTCATATGCTGGTCTTTGCAACACACAGTGCATTCTTTTATCACCTATCCTTGTAGCCATCCCCTTTTTAAATCCAGCAGCGTTTTCGTTCACGGATTAATTTTCTATGCCTTACAATTGCCTCCTGCGTACGCTCGTTCTCCAATCTGGGATGTAACTTGGTTTTCGCTGTTTTGTCAGTGTAAAAAGAGTCGAATAAATTCAAGCACGGACTGGGATGTATCTTCAGCCAGTATACGATTGAAAAACGACACAAATTGGAAAACCCATATTGTAGGCACAGAATTAGACAGTGATCGTAAATACGGCGCACATTTTTGTGACTAAGCCTTCCTGAGCATACAATCTTATTGTACTGAGTTTGTGTCCTCTTTGATTAGTGATTTTTAAGAGAATCTGGGTCGTATCTGGAACGTGGTTAGTAGAGAGCGGCGATAAAAAAAGGCACTATTTGGTCAGAATATCATGCACATAGCTCTATCTCCTGTATGATCTCACATGCTTTCATTTAATGAGCATGTTTTGTCTTATTGAACGCTAGTTTGATACCGTTCAGCACTTGCACTCTTGGTGATCCATTGACTTTCCGACTCACGGGCGACGTATATATTCCCTTCAACCTATATTCACTTTTCTTTGGCAACCCCCTGAAACCAGTTATCCTCGTATAATTTCAGATAAAACTTATGAGTGCGATTACTACTACTTACTCGCTTCGGACATTTTAACACTGGACATGGGCTTCTGGATACTAATGGAATAGGGTGTTGGATTAGAAGACGAAACTAACCAAGCGAATGTACTAGGACTTGATCGCCTTATGTTCATGTTCAACCTTCATCTGTCTTTGCCTCAGCTCGATTTGGTCGTCGGCCCAGCGTCCGAATGGGTCAGTGGAACCTGAAGCCCACCGCCTAGTAATCCCATGTAAAGCTCGTAAAAGGTAACGGATGATGCTCCGGCTATTCAACAATAGTCAGATTCCTACAGAGGAGGTCAAGTGAGGATTGCTGGATTGTTAGGGACCTAAATCTCTCAAATCGGCTGAGAGAGTGTACTTCCTCCAGAGAACTGTCGATAAAGAAACGCTCCGATAGCCATGTGTACGGTGACCTAATCCAATATATTTATCGTGGGAAATTCTATTGAATGCACCAAAATCGATTTGTGTGCTTCATGTGGCATTCACCGGCGATGATTCATTCTAAGTGACCCTCCCAACCACCCCGACCCCCTCTCTAGTACGGTCGAATATGCATGGAAATGCATAGTGGTTGTGCCACTAACCCACCGCTACGCTCCCCAATAACGCACTGATGATGCCACCTCAATTGGTGATGAAATGTTTGCAATCAAATTCCCCAGCTCAGCCAGCAAGCCGACGACCATCTACGCTACCTGAGCTACCTACATTTTCCTCTATAGGATGGAGATTATCTCTTCAGGCATTCATGGCCGAATTTTAGACCCCTTAGGAAGCAGTGACGAACAGGTTATGACAATTTTTAACCATTAAATATCGAACTATTTCTGGATTTGTTTTTTTAACAGTGATACATAGATTTAAGGTTGCAAGCACATTCTCCAGTGTATTTCAATGTCTTAAAAAGCAACTTCACCACAGATGATTTTGAACGAATTTCTATATGGTCATGGCAGCTTCAGATTCCCAATCCATATAGAATTCAAAATATTGCGGCAGTCACTCTTCATATAGACTTTGCAAAACATTTTATCCTAGTATTCCTCTGACCCCTGTTCAGCATTACCATATCGCGATCGCCGATTCAGTTCCATGCAGTGGATGTGCACGATCTTCAATCTCAATCGGATTCTAAGTACAAGATAAGCTGGTTCGAGATTGAAAAACGTATCCTGATCACAGTTCATATCATGCGCTTCACCTTGTCACAGTTTCTGACCGAGCTGTTTTTTAAACACCGATTCACTCTAATTTCTACAAACAAAACAGACAGTCTTATACATTCAACATATCTGGCCACCGCTTCAGAGAGGTTTGTTAAACAATCGATAGATTTACCACTGGACAACGTTTCGACTTTGAAACGAAAGCTTCGTCAGGCCAAGTGAGTAGGCGAGCAGGTTGATCGGGTTTTAAGACAGTCAGCGAACCAATCCTGAGATTCCTTAGGACTAGCCAACTTGATCAGTTCTGGGTGTCGGTCTGAAGTTCCTGTTTATGGGTTAGAGCGGATGACTTACATTTATGATAAACTGAATAGGTGGAATGTCTTCATGTTGTAACCGGATTTTGAGGGCTTGTTTTTCCGGTCTAGGACAGGAATATTCCTCTTAGGGGTTGTTCACAAATCCTGTTCGCCTGTGTTCGTCGAGGTCACTGACAATCGCGTTCCTCTTGAAATTCCGTCAACCACCCTTGTAGCCAATGAGTTTGTAGTGAGTTCATGTGGTGTTCCGCCGCTGTGCACTTTTCAGCCCAGAGTTTGACGATACCAGTGATGCAGCTCGAAAGTGCATGTATTGTGAGTCAAGGGTAAATAGATTCAATAGGCCATGACAGTCGAACTCCCGGAGTGATGTGGATGAATCTACAGGAGGAAAAACTGTACATCCTAGGACGAAAATGCGTCACAGAACTTTACAGGCTGGGGAGTTGTTGATGTTGGGATTTTGAAGCCTCAGTGAGATCCCTAAATGGCTACGAATGCTGGCAGCAGCTTGGTGGTCTTAAGACCAGCCGTTTTTTATGATGCAAGTTTCATGTTCTCAAAACTTTCTAAACAATCGTTTCGTGTTCTGTGGAACAAATAAAGCGAAATAGTTTCCATCAACTTACTGGTCTCCAATATGGTCACATATTTTACGGAGTGCGTAATTCAGAGGAATTTTTATGGAACAGCCATATTAGGGCTAGAATTTTTCGAAAATGCTCTGTTTAGGGCTCACATTTAATGACCTTCGTATGGATAGGGTAAATAAGGTCTTTGAAATATATATCTGCTGGTATCGGTAAGAACATTTTTGTGCAAATATTCATTGAGACCATCATCATCATCACCATCATCCTCATCACCTTCATCATCATCATCATCATCCTCATGATCATCATAATCGAGACTGCAACATCAATGTTGACACTGATATTTCACTGCCGCACAACCATAAAGTCCATCTACCTCAGAGTGAATAGAAGAGAAGAAGAGTGGATGAGGAAAGTGACTTAGTACTGGTCTATGTCTGAGGTGCCTACACCTCCAAGCGCTCAATCAGACAATCTGGAAAGATATTGACAGCACGAACGCCGCTGATATCAATCAACCACCGTTTTCTGCACGGTCTTCAGATGACCAATGACTTGACCCGAAAACTAGTCAATAGTACACGAGGAGTGTTTTAAACCGCTTTCTAATAAATCTTTAAACCAGACTCTGATGTCTGCAACCTACGGGCGGTACCCTTTTTACTTTGATGAAAAAACGAAGAGTTTTTGGATGGACACTGGATGATTGTCGCGTCTAATGCAGACAGTCATCGTAAACGTTTCATAGCTGAATACTCTACTGATTAACTGGCGGAACAATATTTTGCTGGGCCGTCAGATAATACCGGATGGAGCCCTACAACCAACTAACCAACCCTCTTCTACGCAGAATGTTTTCAGAAACAGAAACCAGCAGTTCAACTGCTGGTTCAGTTCGCTCTAGACGCATTCGGAGATGCTTGCGCTATGTGAACCTCTCCTATGTGACCAAGTTGTGTTTGGCCTTATTTTCTTCACTTTAATAACTTGACCAAAAAGTTTGTTTTGTGTATTCGAGTTGGTATCTTTTAAGAACGGCGTTTCAAAACAACTTGTCTGTGAGGTACATCAAATATACAACGTAAAAATTTCACAGTCAAACTTACTACTCTGGTGCTTGACCAGATTAGTCCAAGCCCCTTCTTCGCCTTTAAGTTTCATAAACGTAAAACGTTGTTGAAGAAACTTGATAGTGTTGGATGATTTAGCTATACTTTCAAATCAGTCATGGACGCCAGTATTCGAAACCTCATCTAGAAGGACTTTCAACACTTGTGAGCGAAGTTTCACTGGTATGCGTTCGAAGGGCCTTGATTGCAGCACAGTGGATCATGAATTTTGTGTCGAGGCTGATTGTCTATCTCCCGCACAATGAATAGTTTACCTGCAAGTAACTTTTCCAGCACACCCTTTGCAAAACTTGCTCTACTCGCTTAGTGGTTCACTAGGGTGATGAAACCCAGATGTTTGGGAGAAATCGCCTCATCGTTGACTGAAAATGGTTTAGTTCGCGTGCGCATGTTCTTTTTGGTACTTACTTCCAAACGCGTAAACGAAGTGTATCGTCTGATTCAATCGAGAATCAGCTAGTACACCAGAAGTAACGAGGACGACTATGTTATCAACGTAGCAGAACCTGTTTGAACGAAAATGAGACGCCGTAGCAAAATCCTTCACAGTTTGAGACAGAGTTACTTCAGGAGTAACTGCACTTTCGTGAAGCTTTTGACGGAGGCACTTAGAAGAAGGTTTAATGTCCAGTCTGCCCGAACCAAATTGTTACCGTCTTGGTTTTTATCAGGTCGCTCTGCAAAATCGTCTCAACCCGGCAGTCATTATCTTTTCCTCAACTTCTCATCCGATACATCTGTTGCGGAACTTTTTACGTCAGCCTTCGTATGAGCCCTCGTCAGTATGCTGAGTGAAAAGATCTGTAAACCATAAACAAAGAGAAACTCGTACACACGCAAACGTATATTAAATGCGGTAGTAGTTTTTCTGATGAGATGCGAGATTCGGACACCCGTGCAAGTGCTGAAACTACACGAAGAATTCCACGAATCTCAGCAGACCCCGAAGACCCATTTTGTTTTTGTATTAAACATGTTGTCCTCGAACAGTTAGACCTGGTACGGCAGAATGTAGATTTGTTCGTACCGAAAGGTAGAAAAGTGGACAAAAGTCTTCGACTGCTCTACTAAAAAAACCTGCTTGGTTTTGAGTATTTATGCTGCATCTTATCGGAGGTGGACGGAATCGCTCATATCGGTCATTCGTCTCTAAAATCGCTCATTTCCAGACCGCCCCCAAGGTATACTGTTTTATGACCAGTATCTTCCCTTGCTTAACCGTGTTTACTTTTCATAACGCGCCTCTGCAGATATGTGCGACGTTGGTTGGGTGAACTCTCCGGTGGTGATTGCGCGGAATCCTAGGCCGGTTGCCATAAATTCTTGCATTGAGGTCGATCTATCCGGGCAAGTGTCTTCTGATTCTATTGGACAGACGATTTATTCCGGTAAGCTTCAATCATCTGTCAAGTTTGTTTGAATTTGGCTTCAAATCCAGGTCTCTTTTATTTCCATGTTAATGAGCTCCTTTGGACTGCTTCTATATAGTCTTGTGGGTTTTCGCCGCCACCAGACTTCAGTGTATTAAGGCACTGCTAAGCAATTGTTGGCGGTAAAAAGTGTCATCTGCTTTTCAGGTATTCACGGTTTAGTATTTTCGTCGTCCTTGTACTGCTCTGGCCCATGGGGACAATCCAACTGCACAGTGACTCCTTAGGAGTGTATTCCTCCTCGAAAAATTTTTAGTGCAGAATTCCGAGGCGTTCCTCCATTACGCAATGTCCCTGGACATGTTGACTCAGCCCACCTTTGAAAGCACTGACCTCATGGACATCACTACGAACTGAAGAGAGTGACCGGTGCAGTTTTTCGACCTAACCCATTTTCGATGAACTAGCGAACTCCTATCCGTAAACCCGTATGGACGACCGACTCTGGTTTCGTTTGATTGACTTTGTAGAACCTTGAAACAAAGATTGAATGAAGTTTATGTTGTTCCCAAGCGTAATCGACGGCCAGTTAGGAACACGATTCTGCTTACTGCTAGCACATGACAGATTAAGCTATCCAAGAAAGCAGCGTTAGCCTGTATTATCAAATCGTCCGATTTCCACCCGCCCTCCGGCGAAAGACCACTAGGTCAACCAGGAGAGACAAAAACTCATGCTGGTCGGATATGGCATCAGACATTGTACGCGTTTCATCCGTTGATGATTTTCGAAGACTTTTGATGTCATACGGGTTTCCCGAGGAAACCAAACTCAACAGTGCTTGCCACATAGAGCAAATGGACAGCTGCTAAACTGACTTGTGGAATACTTGAAACAACTAGCCAAAACCCAGGAATTTGAGACAAGTTCAGTATTAGTACCACATTTCATCAACTTTGAAGAGCCAAGTAAACCGGAAGTCGCCGCGATTCTTAGAGCAGAAAAGTCCCCGGAAGACAAGATAACCCTACTGAACTCTGTAAATCCCTTCACTGAGCACTTCTAGAACCATTTCACAAGTTTGTTTACTCAATCCGGAAAAATTAAACATTTCCACGGGCTTGGAACACCTCAGTAGTCTTACCGATCCCCCAAAACGCAATAGAACGGCGTGTGCTAAATATCATGGACCCAGTTTCACTGACCTGGTTGCCGGAACCTTCGCACCTTTTCTGCTACTACATTCTTCCCGAACACGGAACTCTGGACCGTCCCGAAAGAGGCTGTTTGTACCAATATTTACTTTGTGACGAAAATTAGGACATCGTTACGAATTCATGCAGTTGCAAATTCATAGCCTGCTGCACCGAACTTCGAGCTACGTTTGGATCCGTTCATCGTGGATCACCGTTGACAGTCCTTTTATCTGATGGTGTCCCGGCGAAGCCCTTAGGTTTCATAATGGAAAGATATTCTAACGTCCAGTTACGTTCCTAAATCTGATAGATGACTTGGAATGTGTTGGTAATACCGTTCTTTTGGGTGATGGTATAGAAGAAGCCTAACGAGTCCTGATAATTTAACTCTGCTCAGCTCTGGTAGGAATTGAATTCGATGACCAAATTCTTCTGCACCTGCATGGACTTGTCAGTCCAGTCTATCAACAGAAGAGGTGAAGCAATCTTGCAGGTTACGGACTCAAAATACGTTGGCTCCACCATTATGTCCAACAGACAGGCTAAAGAAGTTCAACGGCGTATGGAATCCGGGTCTTAAACACAGTCATCCGCCCGTTCCCGATTCGGTTGGCGGAACATGATCTTTGCGGACTGAAAATGTTTGAAAGCTAGATTTTTACCACTGGTGCATCCGATGTTTGGTGAGGTTTCGCTATCAAGAGGTATCCCAAAAACTTTGTCATGACCTAGTGCAAATATCTCAACGCTTTCAACGACGGTGCCTGCAGTGGTTTGGGCATCTGTGGCGCAGGAGCTATACTTAAATCACCAGACAGTCTTTTGCCCCTACACCATGTGAAGATGATGTTGTGGCTTCGGAGAAAAACCAAAAAGCTGCCTGAGTACGGCCAAGGGTGAAATGAAACAGCTTGGTTTCCATGCGGTCCACGAAGTCCACGACTGGACTGCGCGCATCCCAGCCATTTCTGGAACTTACTACTCCTGTTTCAGATGTTCGTTCGAAAGTAAGCAAGCGAGAGTAGACGGATCAAACACGTAGGTGATGGTTGTTTGTTTAACATGATAACAAATGAGAAACGGCGACCCCATATCTCGCTGGCCTGGTCGCTGCTATGACTAACAATATACCACCAATAAACTTATCGCGTTCTGCGCTGGCGGTGTCCGAATAAGCAGTTACCAGCAAGGTCATGCAGCATAGGTGGTCGACGGATATCCGGTAAATGATCTATCAGATGGTTGGGTTAATGAACTCTCCTGGTGCTTTTTGGGACAGAAGACTAGCTTGTTTGATCCATTGACATTAAGCGTGTGTGCAGAATCAGTTCAAACGGAATTCAGGTCATAAACAGCCCGATGATTCGTTGTGAAAAGTCAGAACATTGTACAAGCAGAGCTGATGGACGTACAGCTTTGCGAACTAAGTGTGTATTCGTATTGTCGAATCGGGATAAACAAATCTATTGGCACCACTCCACAAGAAATAAGCAAACTGACGCTCTTCTTGTACCTCACATGCGCTTGAGTGCCGTCCTTTTTTCCACTGACGGTGCAGGGCATCACTAGTACTGTATTCCAACACGGTGCGTAAAAGGCCGTCATCGATGAGCACGTTAAATGCCTCAGACGTAGGCTACTGACGACTGTTTCCGCACGCGGTTAGAAGAAAGGAAAAAAAGGGATAATTTAAAATCTAATATCCAATGGTAAAAGTCATCCTAGGCTGAAACTCTGTTGGTTCGGTGCAGGAGAGCTTCCGGGAAGACAACCGTTGAAAGTTAGGAATGTAAAACAATAACGCGATTGCTTTGTTACCTTGACTCATGAGTTTAACAAAGCAAAAGCTGGGCACCATGTGTGCACATCGTAATGAACCGTCCATTGCGAATTGCAAGGCCCTTCAAATATGGGCGAAATGACCACTCACGTGGCAATCAACATTGTCACGTTCGTAAGACGCCAATCTTAGGCCATCTAATGTCTTTTATTCGCAGCTGAACACTAACTCCCGTGATATCAAGCCAACTGGCCATACAAAACAGGACTTGTTTTCAAAGGCGGATTGGCGTGGATGGCTAGATCAGTCAATTTCAACGAAGACAGCGCGGAATGTCCACTAGATGAGTACAATCTATTAGTCATAAGGGTACAGAAGAAAAAGCGTGTCAGATATGCTATAGTTGTGACAGAACACAAAAAAAGTTCACTGTTGTAAGTGCGATTAACTGAACGGTTGTTCACATTCTCATCAGTGAAAACGGATTCCCTGCCTATGAGACGCTGGCCGGGTTCCATATTCCTGATCTGTATCGTGTGTACATTAGGACCCTTCTATTTATTGTACCATACGATTGAGATGTACGCGTATTCGTCCGATTGTTCTCAACGTTTCCTCTGAACTGCAGTCTCGAACCGTGTCATGATGCAGCATGACAGTAGAACTGCCCAACTTGTATTTGTTTGAGTCCCACATTTCTCCGTTGACATTTCCCGCAGTATTAGGTCTTATGGGGGAATCGACATGTCAGAAAGTAACGGCATCCATTTGTCCCTTTGCCGGTGGCTGGTCCACGTGCCTGCATCCGTACGGCAGTATTATTTTCGTTTTCTTAGGTCACGATCTGTTCAGCTGTACGGATCACGGAGAGCAACTTCTTAAATTGTGCTGTATATCGTCTGTTCCTGGCCAGCACGAAATTTCAGCATAAGCGCTCACAGCCAGTCACTTTGAACTACCAGCCGCAAGATAGTCATTAATTCAACTGGATCATGTGGCTGTTAGTCACCGATGGAAAGCCCCAATTAAGGATTGCCGTCCTGTCTGAGGTATGCACCTTGACTGCTCATGCCGTTATCAATTATCGTTCGCTTTCCGTCAGCATTAGGCATGCCGAACCGAGGTAGAATAACTCCATTAATCAACTCCGACCAGTTTCAGTAGCTCAGCGGTACCGGGCTGATCTGCCTGGAGGGCTACTGAAAAGGCACGATCACTCTGATGACGAAGATTGGTTAGAAGTCAAACGGAAGCGAGTTAATGAAGCTATGCTTGCAACTTTCAGAACTGTCCGTCCAAGCCACCCGACCCGTCTATATAACCGAGGTCAGCAGATGTTATTGCAGCCAGAAAAGCCATACCAGCAAATAGTGGCTATGATGGCGCAACAGATAGCTCAAGCACCGGATATTTAAGAGCTTGGAGAATGTTGCTGGATTACGAATGCCTAGAAAATGGATAAAGCTCTCGTTGCAGGAAACAGCTGCGCCCTAATTTAACTGATCCGACAAACCGGACAAAACAAGATAGGTATCAGTGATACAATATGCAAAGAAAACGGTACGGCCATTCATTTGCAAAGTCGCCAAATTGAGCGATGGCCTGGGTAGTTTAGGGGGCATTTTAGCCGGCCTCTTTCAACACAACCTCTGGAAGAAGCCAACTAGCCTGAGTGAAATCTCAACATCAGCTCGTCGTCAACAACAGAATCCACATTTCGACAAATACACTCATTTGGAAATCAATTTGGTTTTCACGGGAATCTCAACTAAATCTTCCGTTCATGATAGTCTTCAACTGAATGTGCTGTACAAAAGTCGCCTCATGTTTTAGTTGGCACGATATTCTAGATATTTTCACATAGGAAACTGTTCACAAGGTTGCTGAAAACGTTGGCAGCCCACGAACTGTTTCGTCCTTCTTAGGGTTCAGCCGGTAGCCGCAATCCCCGTGTTTTCTCATCAACCCTATGTTCTACTTGAACCCAAAAGGGCGTTAGTGTGGTAGCCATGGCTCTCTGTCATTATTTTACGCAGGTTGAT